TAACTTGTACATGTGTTACTGAAGTACAATAATCAATATGGCCGACTTCTACGATCCATATTTATACCTAACTATCCATACTAATCTATTATGCATATATTAACTATACATTATCTCTAAACACTATATCCCTTTTTTCTTCTAATTTTTTTTATAATTAAAAATGTTAAGTGTATCTAACTGTTAAGTGTATCTAACTGTTCGCAAAAGACAATGTTTTAGAACAATTATTTTTAACTTCTAATTGATAATCTTAATGTCTAATATATACTGTTTGTACTTATCGTTACGATGCCTCTTCATAAATCAAGTCTCTCTGGAGCTCTTCCTTTTGTACTTCTGGATGAACGTCTTGGTTCAGCAACGACCAACGATTTATCTATCACTTGTTCATTAGTGTCCGGTTCTTTGAAATGTTCCGACTCGTCAATATGTTCATTTCCCGATGGTAAATCTGATTCTTCAAATTTTCTAACGTGTGAAGAATTGCGTTTGTAGCAAACACCTTCACCTGATTTGATTGTCACTTGTGAACCATTCACGTCAACAATCTCGTAAGGATCATGTTCATACATAGTTGTTGTCTTACACGTTTTACGCTGCTGCAGTAGAACTTTATCATTAACTTTGAGGTCAGGATATTTTGCATTCTTCTTGTCATCCGCATATTCCTTTCCTTTCTGTTTGAGAACTGCATCCCTATCACGTACTTCTTCATCACATTTATCAAAAGGAACCAATTCAGGTATCTTTGTGCGAAGACGTCTCTTGAATAACATCTCATCTGGGGCTTTTCCAGTAGTCCCATGAGGTGTTGTACGATACGCTGTTAGGAATTTATTAAGTTCCTCCTCTAAATTTCCTCCTTGCGCATAAGAAATTTTAATTACTTTGTTTAAATTTCTCATCTGTCTTTCGATTTCAGCATTTGCTTGTGGCCATAATGGAGTTATACGGCGATGATAAATTCCATTCTTCTCACAAAACTCCTCAAACTCAGAAGACACAAATTGTGGACCGTTATCAGACGTTAACTCACATGGTAATCCATGAGTAAGAAACATTCGATCTAAAGACTGAACAATCTTTGACGATGTAATAGATTTCAGAATATCTATTTCAATCCATCTACTATAATAATCGATTATTGCTAGAATGTAAATATTATTGTTTATTGGACCAAGTAAATCACAAGCAATTATTTCCCATGGAGATTCTGGTAAACGTGTTCTTACCATTGGTTCTGGACGAGAAGGTAATTGCACCACCTGACATCCATGACATGTACGACATTCTTTTTCTGCCTCCTTATCAATATTTGGCCACCAAACTTTACTTCTTAAACGCTGTTTGGTCTTAACGATTCCTTGATGTCCCTCATGTGCCAAATTCAGGACCTTCTTCTGTAATATCTTCGGAATCACTAGGCGTGTACCACGAATTACTAACTTTCCCAAAACACTAAGTTCTTGTCTGACAGATCTATATGCTACATCTACCGATTCCCATTGATCATCAGTCAATATACAAGATCTAACCTTGGAAAGTTCTGGATCCTTGTCTGACTCTTTCTCCACTTCTTGAATTGTGATGGCATTTGGAACTGCATTCTTTGCCACAAAACGTATATAATCTTCTGCATCATCGGTACTAGGGCTTGTGTTCATGGTCAATCTGGACAGTGCGTCAGCAATATTTTGCGCTCCAGGTCTATACGTGACTGTAAAATCATACGACTGTAAACGTAGTACCCATCTTTGTATCCTGGCTGGTGGCGTTGAATTCTTTGAATAAATGACTTCCAAAGGCTTATGATCAGTGATCAATTCAAACTTACTCCCATAGAGATAAACATGAAATCTTTCGCACGCCCAAACTAAACCGAGAGCCTCTTTCTCAGTCTGGCTATATCGTCTCTCCACACTTGTTAAAGATCGACTAGCATAACTTACGACTCTTTCTTCGCCATCTTGCTCTTGAATTAAAACAGCACCGAGACCTACCGGGCTTGCATCTGCGATAATCTTCGTTTTGGCATCTTTGTCAAAATATGCAAGTGACTCTGCATTTGCTAATTGGGACTTTAACTTGTTAAAAGCGTTTTCATGTACTTTAGTCCACTGGAAAACCACGCCTTTCCTCGTCAGCTGTCGAAGAGGTTCGGATGTTGTCGCCAGGTCAGGAATGAACCTCGCAGAAAAGTTGACCAATCCAAGGAAACTACGCACTTCCGATGCGGTCTCAGGTCGCCTTGCATTCTTTACAGCTTCAACTTTGGTGTTAGTTGGACCAATACCTCTTTCTGATAAAAGGTATCCCATAAATGTAAGCTCAGTCATGCGAAACTGGCACTTTTCAGGATTAAGTGTAAGATTTTTTTCCACTAGGGTCATCAGCAACTTTTCAAGCCTTTCGTCGTGCTCAGCTTGATCCTTTCCATGTACGATAATATCGTCCGATATATTATGCACACCTTCGCAATCGCGAATTGCATCACCAATATGATACTGATAATATTCTGATGCATTATTCATACCAAAAATTAGACGTGTATATCGATAATGTCCCTTGTGAGTGACAGTGGTTGTGATTTCTCTCGATTTCTCTTCAAGCTCTAACTGGTGATATCCATATTTGAGATCCAATTTTGAGAAAACTTTGCTACCATTTATTTCATGAAGGATATCATCCACTGTAGGAATAGGAAACTTCTCTCTAACAATCGCTTCATTGGCTTTGCGCATGTCCGTACACAGTCGAATGTCACCATTTGGCTTAGGTACAACAACAAGTGGACTTGCCCATTTTGCTGGTCCTTTTACCTTTTCTATTATACCTTGCCTTTCCAATTCATCTAATTTCTTTTCAACTTTAGACTGTAATCCATATGGAATGTTACGAGCTCTCTGTGCCACAGGTTTCACATTTGGGTCTAAGTTAACTTCCAGCTGTCTGTCTTTCAACTTTCCAATACCTTTAAAACACCCCGAATATGTTTTCATCATTCTATCTCTGAATGTATTGTCATCCTCGACTGAGTTGACACCTTCCGATATCACAGGTTGTGGACCAATCTTCAAGACATTCAATTGAATAGCAGTTTTCTTTCCCAGTAATGGCTTACCGGTGCCTTCAATCACTATGAATTCTGCTTCTTTTACTTCTTTGCCTTGACATACAACATCGGCTGTAAATTTCCCAGCAACAATAAGTGGCTTACTTGATCCATATGAATAAATCTGTGTTGCTGTTTTCTCCGACTTACATTTTATTTGCTTGGCTTTAAGTTTCTCCCAACAGGATTTATCGATTACATTACACGTTGAACCAGAGTCAATAAGAAAATTGCACAACACTCCTCCAACTTTGATATCGACTAAACCACTGTTTTCATCCGACTGATGATTAACAACAAAAGCATATTCATTGTCACCCTCTTTGGATTCCTGATCTTCTCTTGTATAGTTTATTTTCTTTTTATTGTCTCTCTCATTACTGACTTTAGTTCTACACTCACTTGCAAAATGTCCCTCCTTATGACACTTATGACATTCAGCAGATTTTGCTGGACACTTTGGTGACTTGGCAAAGTGGTCTGTTTTGCCACATCTGAAACATTTCTTGTTGGGTGATTTAAATTTACTTTGAAACTTCCCTTTGATTCGATTGATATTTTCTTTCTTGACTTCATGTCCTGCGTCATCATTAATTTTATTAGCTTGAAAATATGAAGCTTCATGTGCTCTTGAGATTTCTTGAAGCTGCTTAAGTGTTAAAGTTTGTCCTCTTTCAAGCAATTTTCTTCGTAGTGCCACTGAACGACATTTGTCGATGACTTGATCTCGGATGAATTCATCACTAGATTCCCCATAATCACAACTCAACGCTTTCTGTTTCAGCCTTGTTACAAATTGGTCAATTGTCTCACTTTCTTCTTGACTCATTCGACGAAACATATGTCTTTCATACGGTACATTAACAGCAGGGTTGAAATATGTATCCAACGCTTCGATCGCCTTATCATAATCATTAGCATTGCCATTATCTGGTAAAGTATCAAAAATATCCTGTACATCCATACCAGCACAATGTAACATCAAAGCTCGTTTTTGTGTCTTGTCGGTAATTCCTTTTCCGACAACAAAGAGTTCGAATGCTCTTTTCCACCTTCTCCACCTCGGAGCTATACTGGTGGGCTCACCTTTTGGGTCAAACGTTGGTATTCCGCCATGAAAGGCTTTGAAAACCGCCATATTTAACAAAGTCGATGTAGATGAATTTTTTTTTTCTCGAATTTAATCCTTGTCCATCCACTAACTCTTTCAACTTTATGGCATTATTTTGTAACTAAATATTGTTCCTTGACCATCCTCGTCGCCAATTTAGTGTCTCTTTCTTATAAGAGATTTATATTTCAACCAGAAAAACTTACTAACTTGTACATGTGTTACTGAAGTACAATAATCAATATGGCCGACTTCTACGATCCATATTTATACCTAACTATCCATACTAATCTATTATGCATATATTAACTGTACATTATCACTAAACACTATAGTATCAGGTATCCAATCTATTGCAGCTACTCTGAGTATTATGACACATCTACTAGAATAAATAATAAAATCTTTGGGCAGTGTGTTTTTCACTTGACAAGCGCGTCATGAATATAGCCAATTTTCGCTAATTCGACTAATTATAAGCTATAATTTATTAATGCATTTACTTAAATTTTTCATGTTAAAAACATACAAAATTGTTCACTATCTTTCAAATATGACTGTTTTTTGGATATAGACTAAGTTATAAATATGCCAGCATTTATGCTAGCTTTATAACATAGAGCAAAAGTCCTGACGCATGTGCCGACTGAAATTGACATGCACGCGTTGCTAATTTTATCCGCCGGTATTATCTTTTTATTATTTATCAGTGTATGAAAGCACTGTAAACATACTGATCTTGGTAACTAAAACTATATGCACCGATTTCCTCCGAATGTACACATCTATCACAGGAGAATATTAGAAGAAAGTATATTATACAATTTATTAGAGAGTAATGTTTTTCGCGTGAAAAGCGGTTCATATGTAATCCCCGTCATCGCTTGAAGTCGGTCAACGCGTAATTTCAAGTTTTTCTTCGCTTTCTTAACAGTATATTTATATCGTAAAATCATTACAATCTTAACTCGTTGAATTCGGGGGGGGGGGGGTAAAATCCCCCAAAGAAAAGTCAAGAAAGGGCCCAAATATTTTCGGCCAATATAGACCACAGCTCCTCCAATAGATATATGAATCCCGTACGCCTATGAGTGTACTACTATACATTTATATTGCTCTCATGTGCATAGAGAGACAAGGTACGAAATTAGAATCTATAAACAATCAACTTTAATACATGCATGGTTGGGTATACAAAAACGTTTTGATGTAAAAAACGAATTTCTTTCTTGTTGCTTTGAGCTATTAGGCTATATTAAAACCGACGAAACATGTAGTAAGCGCATATATTAAGTGAAAGTGAAACTTATTCTCAAACAAATAAATGAACCAAGACTGCATGTCGTAATCTCTCTGAAAGGGCGAAGCAGTAACTAAAGGGTGTATATATAGAGGCATCTAACGGCAAGTGATTTAACGATCACACTGAGGGGTTATTAGAGACCTTACGATTTTAGGACGGCAACGCGACGGTGACGGCCAAAACAAACTCCCTCAAATAAATGGTAGTATTAAAGCCCACTATTTGTTGTATATTAGTTTCTCATCCGGAGCTTCTCCTAAAGTGGATGCGGGCTGGCGGGCCAATACCATTATGCCATGATTTGCTGGATTTCCCCTCCCCATAAAATTTATTTTGGAAAAGTGCGCATTAAGCATTTATATAGCAACTTTCTGCAAAACAGCACAAAATCAGTAAGTGCAACTGAAAGCATGTTTTCATAATTTTGTACCCAGAACGTCTGGCGTTTTTCTCCCCTGCCCCTGGCTTCCGGTAGAACTTTTATAGCTGAGTTTGGATATTTAATAAGTGTGTACGTAATGCGGGAAAAACTTGCAGTTTGGTTATGAAATTTTGTATTTTAACTATAACATTTGGTTTGGGAACGTTTCTAATTGTCTTTCTTTCAAATTTCACTTTGAAGACATCACAAAATTTATAATAATGGTCAAAAATGGCAATAATAATGGCGAACAAGTCCCTTTTCTTAAAAAAGCATGCGGGCGGGGATGAGAAACTAATATACGTAACAGCAAATAGTGGCCTAAAGACAATTCGTGGTATATTAGCAATCGTATGAATTTAATACAATCGTATGAATTTAATGGGGTTTTATGTTTGGGAAGAGTTCTGCTGAAGCCAGTTTGAAGTTGCACTTGTTGCGGGTTGAAATGCAGCCGTTGTATCAAGACGTGAAAATCTGTGATTTGGCATTGTAAACAAAGCGAGGACAATGTCTAAATTATTCATATATTGCAATTATTGAATTCTTTTTAATTATTGTATTTGTAGCCGTTGCTGTCCTAAATCGTAAGGTGTCTATTTAAAAATCGGGGAACCATGCAAGGTAAGCATGGTTAAAAATTTTTCGAGTATGCGGACGTATATGCATGCACATGCATGGTTTACGCTACTCATACGTTTCTCTCATACGCAATAGTGTGACAGGACCTTAACCGAGATCAGCATGTAATTGCAGTTCTTAAAAAACATGAAAATCAGTATTAAACATGTATAAAATATTTGTTTCATATTATAGTGGCAAAATAAATCTGCACTATATCTGATGAGAAAAAAGTGCTCCTTCAAGGCATTCGTATAAATTGGCACACATATATCCTTTCCCGCTCTTTTCTTATACATTTTTGTTTATATATACCATGCATGTAGTATTTAATGATACCCATAAACGTAAAATTTCAAGCATATATAATTGCTGGCATATCTATAACTTACTCTCTATCCAAAAAACAGCCATATTTGAAACAGTAAACAGTTTTGTATGTTTTTAACGCGAAAAATTTAAGTGAATGCATTAACAAATTATAGCTTATAATTAGTCGAATTAGTGAAAATTGACTATATTCATGACGCGCTTGTCAAGCGAAAAACACACTGCCCAAAGATTTTATTATTTATTCTAGTAGATGTGTCATAATACTCAGTAGCTGCAATAGATTGGATACCTGATACCGTTGCACTTTTGAGAAAAAATAATTTACCGCCAGCATACTAACACGAATATTTAATCCACCGTCTGAAAGACTTTTTAAAAATACACAATATTTTGTTTGCTTCAAGTGACCAGCATAATTTTTAGTTTAGGTTTATGCCTAGGCAGGAAATAATAAAATATATAAGTTTCAAGAAGTTAGAATAAAAGCGCGAGGTGAACTGTGAGATATAAAAAAGCTCAAATATCACTTGCGTAATTAACGTTTTAACTTGTTTTCGAACGCGTCCGAAAATAATTGCGAAAAAATTTTTAAAACTGACTACAATTTCAAAGTCAACGTTTTTGTTATGAATGACTTCTTCCACACAGAAAGTTTGAAGGAAATCTGTAATCTTAAGAAATTCGAGTGGTCGGTTTTTACACGGACTGCCTCTTAAGTAGGCTGTCTCACTAAGAACCATGCAGAGCGTTTCAGGTTGAAAATTAGATTTCCTTTATATTTTTACCATGAACTAACTTTGTCCTAATAGGTATTAAAGTAATATTAGAATTTCTAAATTTTTCTTTTTTTTTTAGTTATGACGAACTTTTGTCTGGATGTCAGCGACAATGAAATTAGACATCGAAAACGGCGGTGAAACATGTCTTAAATTGTGCATCATAACTCGGGAAGTTTCGCGTCAAATTAAAAGCTTTTTTCAGCGTATTTAGACATATAATTCTTCTTTTAGAATGTTGAAAGAATTTGAATGTACATCTTATTTTAAGCCTACTAGTCTCCATCCAAGAAAGTTGGTATTTTCGTTCGCCAAACAACTAATGATTAGGTACAAAATTCAAACTAAAAATTCTCAAGAGTGCAACCTACTTGGTGTCTAAAACACTTTTAGGGTTAAAGTAGAACACTTAAAGTTATGTTATTCGCAATAAAACTTGTCGGGAAAAGGAATATGAAGGAGTGCAAAATTCATAAATTATGGCTATAAATAGCTCTACTGTTTACCTTTGTGATAACCGGAAACACGTTCAATGTTGCTCGCAGAGTTTTTATAGCGACTAATAATATATTGCACAATCATTAATTCGATTGATGAAATGCGATGGATCATTGAGGTCTAAAACGGTCAGAAGAAATAAATTTGTCTAGGACGTTGTATCCCTCGTAACCGGACAGGTACAATGCCAATGTCAAAAATGTGTGTTGCCGTAATGTTGCATCGAATTAATAAATCCATGAACTTGTTATTATATTCTGTTAAAAGTTTTCCACATTGCCCATTTGGCAGGATTTTTGTCCTTTCTTGCATCGTATAAAAGGATCTTAGTTGCATGACATTGACTAGCTGTGATGTATACTGAGATCTGTCCTTTATGTTTAATTTATACAGCAATAATAATAATTTTACAGTAGTTTGCAGCTATTCGCCATTCTGTGAATAACTTTCAACTTCAAATTGGTATTTTTCTGCAAAATTTGATTTGTCTCATTATAGTAGTATAAATTATAGCAATAAAAAATACATAACATCGTAGTTTGCATGCGGCGTTTTTAGTACTTGATTTGAATTAATGATACTGCTCCAGGCTCCACACACTCGCGGTTTTGACCGCCGTTTTCGATGTCTAATTTCAGTGTCACTGACGTCCAGACAAAAATTCGTCATAACTAAAAAAAAAGAAAAATTTAGAAATTCTAATATTAGTTTAATACCTTTTAGGACAAAGGTAATTCATAGTAAAAATATAAAGGAAATCTAATTTTCAACCTGAAACGCTCTGCATGGTTCTTAGTAAGACAGCCACTTAAGTATTATTCAAGCCTTTTTCTTCCAGACATGGTATGTTACTCATATGCACCCGTATGTTACTCGAATGTACTTGTATGTTACCTGTATACAGTGGTGTGGTGTTTTAATCATGATCGAGGTTTCTTTGCAAATTTTTATAGAACTACCTTTGATAATAATAATAATTAATTTTTAATAACCAAATTTAAATGGCAACGCCTCACAACAAACGTGTGGACTTACAATGTGAAAATAGTTATATTAATATATAGTATGATATATT